AATCGTTGAGTGAAGGATCTCAATGTTATCGGTATTATATCAAAATATGATTTCACACCCAAACAAATAACATTCAATTATGAGTTAGTATTGCTGACTTGCAAATCTGGTTTTCCTAAAAATATTGCGTGGATTGTCCTTTGTGATCATAAAGGCTGAGTATTCCTTAAGGCCGATTCACATTATTATCGGTCAGGTTACGGTCTGAACATGACCAGTACAGAAATACACGGTTACAGTAATTGACCGCACCGTGTTCTGACCATGATGTGACCGATGGCCTTATATAAACGCACTGCAATGACATCGTTCGGTAAAATGATAATCGGAAAAAAATGTACTCGGTGTCGGAAGTCAATCTTCGGAAATGTGTACAGTCGAAGGATAGCCTAAAACCGAGCCTAAAACAATCCATTAATAGAACTATATTAAAATAAAGATCCTCAACTTTACTTACCTAGGTAGGTACTGGTTTTTTTTTGTTATTTTGCAGTTAATAGAAAATCAGGTAAACATAATCCATAACATAACCCAACTTTGAATGGCATTTCAGGAATTACAATTACTATAGGCACTGTTATTGGCATTCAATTGAATTACTGAACAAAACCGCATATTATGGTAAATAAGTATTTTTAGGTAGAATTTATTTCGCAAGATCACTAAATTCCCTTTTTAGAGTTACGGAACGATATTTACAGTTACAGGTGGTAACCAAAGATAAGCAAAATACTATTTTTAATTTTATCTCAAGACGAATGTATGCGAGTGTCAGCGACCTAACGAAGTACAAATAGGGATCGCGGATTCGGGATGGCAGCACAAAGCAACGAATATTTCAAAAATACTTCTTAGTTCACTTTTCTTACACCATGGCGTGCAAACGCACCCTTAAAAGTTAGCGCTACAGGGGATCAACAATCCTACCGTAGGTTTTGTGTATCATTACAAAACTCCTATGCGAATGACAATACACCGGGTGAATATTCCCAAACCGAACATAGGGAATTAACATGGGAAAAAGGGTTTTTGTGGATAGTTGCTCCCCGTGTTAACTTAGAGGGTTTATAGTGACACCAATCGAAAGAAGATTTTTTTCCTCGTTTAAGTAATGATATACGAACTAGTTCATTTTCAGGTGTATTTCTCCTATTTTATCAAAATTCGGCAATAAATCCACGTACCTAAATCATGTTAAGCCATGACTACATAGTAAGACCAAAAGCAGATTTAAACGTCGAAATCAATATCAGTTTATGACAACTGGCATTAATTTTTTTGTAAAATGCGGTTCATCGAGGAAAAAGTATTTATAATAAACAACTTTTACAGCGGAAATATTTACTCTAGTACCTACGCGATATTTGTTTTCCGTACATTTTAATGAGCGTCTCCGTCTGTGTGAAAACCTATTTCAATTCTTTAGGAAATTTCCATGGCTTAACATGATTTTGCTAATGGGATTTATTGCCGAATTTTTGATAAAATAATGAGAAATACACCTGAAAATAAACTAACTCGTATATCACTAGAATGAGAAAAAAATCTTCTTTTGACTGGTGTCAATATAACCCTTTAAGTTAACATGGGGAGCAACGATCTGCAAAAAACGTTTTTTCCGTGTTAATTGCCTATGTTCGGTTTTAAAATATTCACCCGGTATATATTCGCTAACAAAGATGCCGCTTGCGGCATCGGCATCCATATTGAGCCTAATTGTGACCTTCGGTGGTCAAGATGTCTTTTTCAAGTAAACAGTTGTACTGTACTCTTACAAAAATCACCAATTCTTAGTATATCACTAGAATAATCACTGGGATCAGAATTGGCCCCACCTGGTAGTGTTATAAGCGTTTTAAAAAGTACCCGGTATTGGGAAGGTCAAGAAGGTTTTGAAAATTACACCACTTTACTAAGTGAAATTGAAATCGCGGTCCTCAATCCCCGACTTATTTCACCCTACAGTTCAGTTTTAAACTTCTTCAACCCCTTGACGTCTGGGCATAAGTTTGATAGCCCTAACAAGTCCGAATACAACTTACTTCAGGCATCAACCTGCATGGGCTACAAATTCGCAATAAATGGATGACCAGTCAATAAATTTGCGAGTTGTGACTGTAAAAACCTCCACTACTGAAATAAAACGTGCTATTAACAAAATTTAAACTTCAAAAAGTGAAAGTTTAAAATGAACTGAGTACCTATCCTTTTATTCTTTTAGTTTTTATTGAAACCCGGCTTGTATTTATCTTATGTGAAATGAGCTCCTAGAAAGTTAAATGATCTTCCCTTACATTTCTTTTCTGTATTGGTTTTCGATTATTATATTATAACCTCTGTTATTAATAGTATAAATTACATCTGGTGTTCCCAATGTGATATATTTGTTAATGCCAGGACATGGGATAGAATATAAGAACGTACAGTCAATGTGCTAAAACGTTTAAAACCAGGAATAAATATAAAAAGAATTGCCATTTAACGATTTGACTCGAAAGTAATCCCAAGCTGACAATACAAGATTATGTAATAACATTGCAGATAAAGTTCTTTATATCTACACTACACTAACAAATTAAACCGTTTCAACGTTTTACTCCGTTTCCGCTATTGGAGTTTAGTAAATATTAAAACATTTCTTTGCATTTTATTTTTTATATACGTCTTGCACTGCCTCCGTGACTCAGTAATATAAATATCTAGTTACCGTCTAACGAACCTTCTACCTTTACATTTTGAATCCTCAAGAGAATACCTTTAAAAATTAAAGCGAATTTAAAGCAGAACGTTCCCTAGCATCATGCTGATTACCACTTTCATCGCACATCATTTTATAACTACGGCATAACTGGTACAAGAAGTGAAGAACAATGAAGATGATTAGGTTCTGAACTAAACGTTCAGTTGTACAGTTGAAAATATGCAAAAAAGTCATAACACAAAAATGTAGAGCAAGCTGGTTGGATGAACATTTCCGCATCAATTTTGAAAAATCAGTTACCAACAGATACGTTTATTTGAAATAATTGTATTTTAATTATGGACGGTAATTATTTCCATTTAATGTATCGACGCTACACGAAATCTTTTATTATACCGAACATGGGATTTTTCAATTGTTCAGTTTCCACGGACGCTGAAGGGAGTTTCCTGGCAACGGTCAATGCTTCTTGCTGTATTCACATATTTACTGCATAAAGATTTACAAGTACTTACAGTTTTTTCGCACGCACACTATGTCTAAACTGTGTTATGTCTAACCCTTTGGAATAATAGCAGAAAATAATCTTTTCCAGCGTTTACAAAACCTCGATTCTATACTCGCTTCAAAGTAATTGCTGCAAATAGTGATTATTGAGATGAAAAAGCAAATAACAGCGAGAATAAAAAGTAATAAGGCTAAATAAAGTAAAGTAAAATCCACGGTTTGAAGCTTTCATGGCCCATAATTTGTTTCAGTAAAAAGCAATTTACTAAATTAAAAAGTATTTCTAAAATTCTTTTTAGTTGCACAAAATATGTCCTTTGTAGATGTTGTCGCTAAATTAGGCCTCACTTCACATAAGATGAAAGTAAAGGAGTCTGTGCGTTATAAGACGGAAATATGACGGTTAAATTTAAAGTACATAGGCACCACTTTACAGGACTGAATTTGTTGTTACTGCGCACATGCATTTTCTTGTAATCGAGAAGATTTAAATTATCTTGCTACCAAGTAGTTAATAGACAAGTTAGGAGTACCTACTCAATTACCAATCTACAGTCGTATAACCTAATTAGACACTGTAAAATGTCGCGCTGCAACAGACAACAGACTAACTTCATATAGGTGAAAATTATAGTGGAAACTTTGTATCAAAATTGATGGTAAACATAGGTACCTGCACTAGATTCATAGTTTTTTCGATACATCCTTGCATATAAAAGAAATGTTTCCATTACATTGACTTTCAAAAAACTGATTACCTACATCTCAACATTTTAGGCTTTTCAATTTTCACTTTTCAAAGCGATTTAGATTACCAAAGCGTGATAATTGGAAATTTACACCGCATAAAGTTGTGCTGTATTGATTTCGTCGCAGAACACATTAAAATGCCCTTTTTGCATTCCGGGGACTGACGTAACCGCCATTTTAGAAATTAAATAAGTGCTTTGTTTCTCGGAGGTATTAATAGTGGCAGTTGTGGTATGGTACGTCTCAAATTTTACGCAATAAAAAGTAATTAGAGAAAATATATCTGAGATCATTTAACATTTTAAGTTAGATAAACTGGGACAAACAATTTTCTTCTACCCTTGTAATCATAGGTGTCTACTGCCGTTTCACTGTATGCATATACAGTAGACTCGCGTTTATGTGAACATTCGCACATTCAGTAATGTGAACAACAAAACATTCCTATTGACTTCTCTGTAGTGTGAGCAACGTATACTCTCAGTAATGTGAACAGTACATTTTGCAGGTTCAGAATTGCTTGCAACTGTTTCAGTAGCTTATTAGTCATTTTTGTAGCAAGTGCAGCGGTGAACGCACGTGTTTATTTTCATAATTTACAAAATGGCACATACTGTATTATGTGATCAAAAAAGAGTTCCTGTCGGGAGTCACCTTTGGAATTATTGTGTGCATAGGAAATCGTGCGGCGTTGCGACTGCCACTCAGTTTTGATTACTCGTTATATTATAAAAATAAATATTTTATATGCCTTCGGTAGTGTGAACAATCTCGAAAACATGAACCCTCTGAAATTTTTGGAGTTCGTATTAACGAAACCCTACTACTTAATATATGCCACTTTACCTGTTTTATGTACGAGTATTTAACGACAATTTTATCACATGACTGTACCGTGTGTGCTATTTGGGTTGAGACTGCACTGTATTTCAGCCCGCAGCCGTTTTTAAAGATAGGGACGGTTTTTGCGACCCATGCACCCTTGAAATGCAGCATATCCTTTTAAATATTATAATCAAGTTCTCACATGTCATTACTTTTTTTGAATTACCGAAATTTGTAATTTGTCGTGACTTTCGTCTTAATATCATAATGTGCGACAACGTTTACTCGTGTAGAGATAAGAGATTGTAAGCAGTGAATTTCTTAATGCAATTTCTGTGACTCTACTCTAGATCAATTTTAGTGAATTGCCTTGTGGCGTGTTTCGACGCGATCGAATTTCTTGAATTCCAGAACGCGCATCTGATGCAATTATGCAACGAATTTGGACCTTCCTTTGAATTTAACGGTCATACAATTGACTGTGTTGATGTCAAATACAATCCAGTAAGATTTTCAAGTCTTTTACCAGGACCAACCTATTGTGTGGCTCATAGTGAAATTACAATCACCGAAACCCATGTGGATGTTACAAACAACGTTAGAGCTGTTATTCGATTTAGCGAAAGTTTATCAGTTCTTGAGAAATTAATGAATTCCGTCATGCAAGCCTTTGTAAAAGCTAAAACGAAAATGGGGGAATATTATAGTGCCCTTCGTTAAAAAGTGCACGCACCCAAAATAAAAATTTAACGATATATTCATAAATAAATAATTACTATACATCATATGTATACCTTATTCAATAGACAAATGCCCAATTTTGCGAGGAGGTTATCTTGTGGTACAAGAGTCGGCAGGAACAAAAACGTGCCGATTTGGATGGAAGGAAATTAAAGCAAAAGCAAAACTTAGCAAAATGTTTTTAGGTTGTACACAGAAAAATTATAATTTAATAAAATTTTGCGTTATTATTTGAAAAAAAAGTTAAATGCCGTTGCGGCGCTCCAAAATTATTCCAAAAATCCGGCTGGTTATTTTTCGTTTCCGTATGCCTAGACATATATCCAAAATTTGAACAAAATTCATCTAGCCGTTACCTCACAAAATTACCAACGTACGTACGTACATACAGACGGACAAACATTTTTTTTAAAGTGGACTTGGACATTTGATGAAATTTACTAAAGAGATGACACTCGTTTGCTCCGCTCCGTCGTGTGTTCAAATCTAGAGCATCAGAGTAAAAATACTGCCTTTACTCATTTGTACTAAAAATAACTATTGATGTGGTTTTTCAAGTGTTTGAAATAAATAATAGAACAGAATAGTTAGGGAAATATGCTGTAAGTCACAAAAAGGAAACCTCTTCTCTAAAGTTGCTATCGCTTGTGGTACGTCAATTACGTTGAGGGTTATAATTTTGCAGAGCCTTCATTAACCAAAACGTGAAAACTGCAAAGTTTTGAGGATCTTATTTATTTTTCAAGTGTTTTCTTTGTTAAGCAAACAATTATTCGGTAACTAGCACTACAGTAAAATGGAGAAAGCAAGTTGGCATTAATGGTAAAAATACGTTTCAAGCGTAAACAATTCCTTTGCGTTCACGTATTTTTTTGTCGTTCGGATTAGGTAGGTACATTTTATAGGGTATGTAAATCAGCCAATCAACCGTGGCTTTTATATTCTAGAGTTTATAAAACGCTCATAATTTTATGTTGGAGAGGTAATTCTAATTATTGAACGCCTACGTATTGGAATGCTCTAAGATTTCATCAACATGCCGTAATTAAATTTTTATCCCGTGAAAATTGGCTTTTAATTTGCTCTCTCCTTTCTTTTTCAATTAAATCCATGCTTTTGTACAAATATTGAAAAATTAAATGGCCGAATCGATTTTCGTTGCTTATCTAACCTTTACGAGAATTTATAATTATTATCAAGACAAAATGGGAATTTTACTACTTCATATACCTACTCGTATAAGATTTCGATCCAAGCATTGAATAAATTTTTATTCAATGATCCAAGTTAGTAGGTACCTACGTCTCGGGCAAGGGATCTACAAAACCAGTTTAATCCCTTTGACGCCCGTTAAATTGCGGATTCGATGAAGATGGGTAGGTCAACCATCTCAATTTTCCCTTAATTAATACGGCTACATTGTGATCGACGTATTAACTTAATCTCCTAGTATCACGTTTTAATGGAGATGCGAAATATCCCTAGATATGTGACTCTTCTATCGGATGAGAACATATCGGTATCCACCTCTAACAATTTGGAAGTTAGTGAATTACCATAATTACACACGAACACACTCATCAAAATTGTATTACAAATTATAATTAAAGGAACGATCCATAATTTTATTCCCTTATAAACGGTTGGGGTATATGTATTACTACTTGATTTTATATTACCTGTAGATTTCGATTTGATTTCAGTCCCCATCTAGTTTTCCAATTCTATCCCAATACTGTGAATTACTAGATCCAATATTTATTCGAGCGTAGATGAAAGTTTCGTGCCAGGAGACCCTTTTGTAGCAATAGTGGCGCACGAAATTACTTTCTTAAAGCACTGGGTGGTTATTTACACTTTTAAAGCATCGGCGGATTGAAAGCAGGTTGTTCTTTGCCCGAGCCGAATGTAATTATGCATACAATTTATTCTCATTTACCCACGTCCTTAAAAAAAGCACGCCGCATTCTGTGGTAAGTGGCAGATGTTTACTATACAGTGTAATTTACTCTTTATTGAGGTGACCACTGATATAATTAGAAGGGGCTTTAATTATATGCAATCACTGGAGTAAATTTTTTGGGTTACCATTTCTGAAAATCAGCTATTGCGGTGCGAGAACCTTTTATTCCTAACAAAATTTCCAAAGATTTTCAAATAGATTTGTCAATGATTTATTTACTTCTATATTGCCGTTTGATTATCTACTCTACCTTCGTACAGATTTCCAATCTCAAGCCTAATTTTGAAATTCCGATCACGTGTGTTTTCAACTTCCATTTATAAAATGTACATACATATACGTATACACTTATTGCGTAAGGAAAAAGAGAATTACAATTCATATGAAACAGCTCAAGTATTTGTAACTCTAGTAAGGAAGCTCAATGGAATAAAATATGTGCGGGTCAATCAAGTCCAAAGGGCCGACCCGTTCCTACCTATCCATGACTTTGGAATTAGTTGGTTTAGGTGCTCTCGTACTTTCAGTTGTTTGTGCGGCGGGGCACCGTTGTGCTGAAACTAGCGTAAATTACGTCGTGTTTCCAAATCTAACCCATCGTACATATCTTGAAATTCATTTGATGGCAAATAAAGATAACGTGGGCCTGTCCAATTTTCATCGTAAATTAAAGGTCCAAGAATTCGTGATCCAATAATTCCGCACCAAACATTAAATCCAAGTTTTCTTTGAGGTCTTCAACAATAAAGAGCAGTATTTTGTTTATTTATTGTTTTCCATGGCATGATACGATCTACTTATAATAGTGTATTGAATATAATTGTTAATTTAATTTTCCTAGTGAATTTTCGAAAATGGCCCTTAAATATGTTAAATGTGCTACAGTTACACTATTACTTGTCTCACTAGATGTTGTTTTCCATGGTAAACTCTTTTTATTTACCTACCTTTCAATAATACAAACAGTTCTGTATGTTTATTTGTCAAAGTAAGTACAATGAATCTTATATCGTAAACAGAAAAAAATGCACTTTTTAAAAATTTCAAAGCCAACTATGACTACTATTTAAAAAAATTACAGTTTGTATAACTCAAAAATTGTAAAATATAGAAGGAAATTGGTATGTTCATCACGTTAAACATTAAAATGTCTGAAACTTTTAATCGTGTCACTTTGCTGTATTTCTAATAATGACTATTCTACATCAATGGAAACGTCAAAAGTGTAAATGTCAAGCGGGTTTTTGTGTATATTTTTTTGTATTAAAATGGACAAAATCTCAAGCTATTAAATTAGTTGTAGATAAAGTAGAGTATATTACTCGCAATAATGGCTATTATACTCTCGGAATTTTAATCCCTCGTCGCGGAAGCGGCTCAGTTCGTAAATATTCTTCGAGAATTAAATAGCTCTCATTATTGAGTCGTGATAATCGACTATTATTCAGAACAATGAAATAAATATTATCAGTTTCTTATTGAAAAAGGCTTGTTTGTGGTGTATTTCTACCTCCGTTTTTCCACTGTATTTTGACAAATGAAATGAACGTTCCTCTGCATTTAAGTTAGTGAGGCACTTCTGCTAATATCATCTGCTGATCAAGTTCTATTTGCAGCACAGTTCATCATCGATTACGCATAAATCTGTGGTACCGTTTTTACAGCACTTAGTAGATTACATAACATAACTTATTATATTACATAGGAAGTGTTAGTAGGGGGAATGTAATAATTTAAAAAAAAAGAGCATTTAATTCGGGAATAGGGCACTTACTTAGCACCTAATTACAGTTAGTTCACTTTTCATTTTTTAGTTTTTTGAGGTAGCGTTCTGTTGCGTTCATATGAACCTGGCAAAATATGTAATAATTTAAAAAAAAAGGAACATTTAATTCGGGAATAGGGCACTTAATTATGCAATATGGTTGATTGTGTTCTGCTGGCCTTGCTCTGCTAGGTTCATGGACATTAACATTAGTTCAAATTACATTTTCTCCTACAACTTTGATCAGGAAATAAAGGGGGGATTTATGAAGATAAAATTTAATTAATTTTGATAAACAATGGCACAATGGCACATGTGAAAGTACCTACAAATCTACATACCTCCCAGTTTGGATATCATACTTACGTATTGCGCAGGTAGGGTAATGCGATTACGTCCATTAAAAGCGATACTTGCTATTCAGACTTTCTAACAGCCATTAGGCCAATTGTTACCAGATTGTTTTTTTAATTAATCGAAGTGATAAGGCTGGTGTTAGGTAAGTGGGAAGCTAAAAAGTGTACCTTGTCTATATTGCTCATGTTGTTAGGGTTGTGAAATTGTAAATCAAAATTAATTATCGGAGTGGAAGAAATCATTTTCAAGTTTTTTAATCGTCGTCCAAAACCCATACATCAAAATTTTAATATTTTCCTAGTTAGAATACACATTCGCACCAGAAAAATGACGCAGCTGACGTCATGCGCACAGTCGGCGAGTTTGCGTTGCTCGATTAACATACCAGTGTGAGTGTATCGTGGTACTATCAGAACTTCAATAAGGCACCAACTTTGAATTTAAAAATTTGAATGATTATAAACCGAAAGATTTGAATATCCCTTATTTCCAAAAGACTGCATTAGTTTGATGTACTTATAGTAATCGGCTAAGCTCGTCGCTGGCCACCGTGTATAATAAATTAATTTTTAATCACACCACCTTTATCTTACTACCTAAATATTTATAATGATAAGCTCATACGTGAATCTAACTGTCAGATGTACTTGTAGAACAGTAGGTAAATCCTTATACTGACAACCCCTTTGTACTGAATCCTAAATGAATTACACGCCAGTGGCGCTTGTCCAACTGATGATATATATACATACACACACACACACCCTCCCCCTCACAGACATCAAAGCAAATTACGTTATCATTTAGTATTCAGTTGATTGTTGCTGAATTAAATTCACAAATGCGAATAGTCGCGCACTTTTGCACCATGGCAAAATTAAGGCTTAAGGCATCCTAATTTCACCCTAAAATCATTTTTGTTGCGAAGTGTATAGCTTATATGACTAACTAATTCACTTTAGCGCTAAAGCAAAAGTTTAATTTTAGCGGTTCATCGTCTTCATATCTGGTAGCATACGCACTTTTGCGTTAAAAACAGACCGTCAAGATGAAT